TCTTCTATTAGTCTTATAGTAAAGGGCCGCATGGTGACACGTCTTCTATTAGTCTTATAGTAAAGGGCCGCATGGTGACACATCTTCTATTAGTCTTATAGTAAAGGGCCGCATGGTGACACGTCTTCTATTAGTCTTATAGTAAAGGGCCGCATGGTGACACATCTTCTATTAGTCTTATAGTAAAGGGCCGCATGGTGACACGTCTTCTATTAGTCTTATAGTAAAGGGCCGCATGGTGACACATCTTCTATTAGTCTTATAGTAAAGGGCCGCATGGTGACATGTCTTCTATTAGTCTTATAGTAAAGGGCCGCATGGTGACATGTCTTCTATTAGTCTTCTATTAGTCTTATAGTAAAGGGCCGCATGGTGACACGTCTTCTATTAGTCTTATAGTAAAGGGCTGCATGGTGACACATCTTCTATTAGTCTTATAGTAATGGGCTGCATGGTGACATGTCTTCTATTAGTCTTATAGTAAAGGGCCGCATGGTGACATGTCTTCCATTAGTCTTTTATAGTAAAGGGCCGCATGGTGACATGTCTTCTATTAGTCTTATAGTAAAGGGCCGCATGGTGACATGTCTTCTATTAGTCTTCTATTAGTCTTATAGTAAAGGGCTGCATGGTGACACATCTTCTATTAGTCTTATAGTAATGGGCTGCATGGTGACATGTCTTCTATTAGTCTTATAGTAAAGGGCCGCATGGTGACATGTCTTCCATTAGTCTTTTATAGTAAAGGGCCGCATGGTGACATGTCTTCTATTAGTCTTATAGTAAAGGGCCGCATGGTGACATGTCTTCTATTAGTCTTCTATTAGTCTTATAGTAAAGGGCTGCATGGTGACACATCTTCTATTAGTCTTATAGTAATGGGCTGCATGGTGACATGTCTTCTATTAGTCTTATAGTAAAGGGCCGCATGGTGACATGTCTTCCATTAGTCTTTCTGCCATTCTACATTTTAAAATCAACCTTGACCAGGTGATGTAACACAGAAGCTGCTAACCTGCAGGCATGTGTCCTGTAGGCAATGCAAACCAAATGCATACACAGCTCATCATTCATGTGTTTGAGCAGCCTGTCAGTTTCAGGCAGACCTGATCAGATGCCCAATGTATGTCAATTTCTTGCATTTGAGCCTTCTAGGCATTGCAGCTGCTGTCAGTGAATGATGGGTGCAATGCACAGGCTCCTGCAGACTATTCCCTCCCCGATCGCTTCAGTTATGGGGCAGGAGTAAGTAACCAATGGAATACAAGTGCAGTGAAACACTTGTGCTCTATTGAGATTTATGAGTCCCTGTGCCGTGGTGGTGGTGGTGGTGGATGGGCATGTACTATGCATGGATCTGTGAATGAATGACGCAGTTGTGTGGCGCCTAATTAAAAATATTAATAGGATGCTCTAAGGAGAAGCACCCTACAAA